AAAGCTAGAATTATCACTCATCAAAATATTTTGTATTTTAAACACAATATAAAAACTTTATTCAAAAATCTTTGACATAAAAATTAGATTACCCTTTTTTATTCCATGAATAAAAATTAGAAAATGACTATTAAAATAACACCAACGGCCATTTAAATATTACCATTTGTTAAGTGTTATGAGTAAGAATAAATGTTTATTGAATAAATAAGTGGAAATCTCTCATCATCCACAAAAGGCCAGATTACATTCTACATCTTAAGTCTAAGAAGTCAACAAGTATTAAAATACCTAAGAAAAATTCCCATCAACAGAGGAAATTCTACGTTGTACTCAGAATATGGAAGACCACACACCAAAACCTCCGTGGGGGTAAGGACTGCACCTAATGTAAACAGCCTATAAATGCCTAAGCATGTGAATGCCTAAGAAATGATACTTGTTTGCACTTTATATGCTTTTGTCTTGTGTGCCACATTTGAGAAATATAACAAGATCTACTACACAATAAAATATTTAACTTAATCAACAGTCCTGTCCTTTGACACCAAACGGCATGATTAAAGATCAATACACCTAGGGCCGGCCCGGTGGCGCACTGCTGTAGTGTGCCGCTTGGGAAGTGCAGTGGCGCTCCCACCGAGGGTTCGGATCCCACATACAGACCGGCCGCTCACTGGCTGAGCGAGGGGCGGGAGCAACACCGAGGGTTGCGATCCCGTGGCCGGTCCCGGTCCGGTACGGGCGCGACACTGAAGGTTGCGATCCGTTGCCGGTCACGAAAAGAGACAAAAAGGAAAAAAAAAAAAAAAAAAGATCAATACACCTAAAGAACAAAGGGTGGAAGCACTGGGAATCAACAGGGGCCAACATCACAAAAAGAAAGACAATCAGCAACTATGCCCCCTAATGGAAGAACACAGTACTACCTATCAAGCAGTCTTACTAAAATAATCAAATCTGAACATGATCAATGCTCTGGATCCAATTAGCAGCCTCCAGAAAATACAAAGGATAGACAAAAGTATTAAACTACACCGCAAGGAAACAATTAGCAAAATCTAGTATGGGGGACTGGGAGGAGTGAAATCCTCTATATTAAAGGAGATTTGAAACACACATTAATCAATCACAATGTAAGAATACTATTTAGATTCTAATTTTTCAAAAATTTTTAAATCTATGACCAATGGAACTTTGAATCTGATTTGATACTTGATGGTGTTAAGAATTCTTTTTGGTATAATGGCACTGTAGCTATGTTTTTCAGAGTCCTTATTTTTTATGGTACAAACCAAAATATTTATGGATGAAATGATATGATGCCTTTGATTTGCTCTAAATAATATGAGAAGACAATGACAAATGCTCACAACAACGTGGAGAAAGGGGAACCCTCATAAATTGATGGTGGGATGTAAAATGGTATAGCCACTTTGGAAAATAGTTTGACAGTTTTTTAAAAAGTTAGACAGAAATCTACCATATGACCCAGCAATTCCACTCCACTGGGTATCACTCAAGAAAAATGAAAACATATGTCCCCACAGACTTGTGAATGTTTGTAGCAGCATCATTCATAATGGCTAAAAAGCAGAAACAACCTGAATGTCCATCCACTGGTGAATAGCTAAGCAAAATGTGATATATTCACATGTGGAATAGTATTCAACAATAAAAAGAAATGATTTACTGATACATGGTACAACATAAATGAGCCTCAAAAATGTAAGAAAGAAAGAAGCCAGGCACAAAAGAACACCTACTGTATGATTCTATTTATATAAAATACCCAGAAAGTGCAAAGCTATAGAGACAGAAAGTAGATCAGTGATTACCTGGGGCTGGGGGGAAGGGGAATGAGAATTAACTGTAAACAAGCACAACAGATCTGTGGGGATGATAGAAATGTTTTATGCCTGGGCTGTGGTGACAGTTGCACAACTCAGTAAATTTACTAACAATCATTGAATTATACACTTACAATGGGTGGGTTTTTTGTGGTTTTTTTTTTTTTTTTTGGCAGCTGGCCGGTATGGGGAAATGAACCATTGACCATGGTGTCATAAAGCCACACTCCAATCACTGAACTAACTGGCCAGCCCTACAATGGGTGAATTTTATGGTATGTAAAATACACCTCAATAAAGTTGTTTTAAAGAGATAAGAAATATAGAGATAGGTCAAAAGAGAAGGAATGTGAGAAGACGGGGAAAACAAGAATGACAGGAAAAGTAGCATGGAATAAAAAATGAATAAAAAAGAACTCATTTCTAGTTTTGAAAAATAATAAAAAATGATAACAGGAAAGTGAAGTGTGTGGGGATGGGGCAGAATTAACCATTGGTTGATGGTTATTGAGACGGGTGACAAGTACATGGGAGTTCATTATACTATTCCACCTACTTTGGTGTATTTGAAATTCTCCACAATAAAAAGTTTTTTAAAAGATCAGTGCTTATTCCTGGTACTCAATGTTCACGTTATTGCCAGGCTGGGTTTCCAATGTAATCAAGTCTCCTATTTCTCTCAGTCTTAAGCAAAACAAGACAATCTAATGTTGCTGCTCTGACAGGCTCTCTTCAGGTGATTTCCATTTCCTTGGGCAAGAAGTTAGAATGTTATTTTTAGAGAAAAGAAAAAGTACAGTATAGATAATAGAATGAGCACCACAGTACTTATGAAACATATTACAAAGATGAAAAAAATAATGTAGCACAACAGGGAGAAATCAATCACCAGTGATTGAGTTTGGATGTGCTGTCCCCACCAAAACTCATGTTGAAATCTGATCCCCAATGTGGCAGTGCTGCAAGCTGTTTGAGCCATGGGGGCGGATCCCTCATGAATGGATTAATGCTCTCCCTGGGTGGGGGGATTAATGAGTGAGTTCCCGCTCTATTTGTTCCCGAGAAAGCTGGTTGTTTAAGAAGACCCTGGCACGCGTGCTCTCACCTCTCCCCTGCCCCCTCGCTTCCTCTCACCATGTGATCTGCTTGTACCCGCTGGCTCCCTGCCACTTTCCGCCAGGAAGAGAAGCAGCCTGAGGCCCATGCCAGATGCAGCTGTCCCACAATCGTAAGCCAAATAAACCTATTCTTATAAATTATCCAGTGTCAGGTATTTCTGTTATACCAACACAAACGGACTAATAAAACAACCAGAATCATACCAATGCAGTTGCTTCTACCACTAAGGTTGGTATACTTTTCCATCTATACCAATATTGCCAGCATTTACTTAATGATGCCAGCCACCTGGTATTTTAATTCTACAAATGTACAAAGTGCACTTGGAATGGGAGCCAGAAGACATGGTCCTAGTGTATCCTATTACTAGCTTTGTCTCAAATTTGTATGAACTCAGCTACATCACTTAATCTAAGACTCAGGGTCCTACGCTATAAAATGAAAGTCTGAAACATAAGTAGTTATAAACCTGGGGGATAGGGCCCATGAATAACATTCAGCAGGATTATAAAGCCTCAGAAATCCCAAGAAAGTTTTGTCTACATTTCTACCTGTACTTCTCTGGGTAGTTCTTAGCTCTTAGCAGGTTCTCAAACGGAGCCACGATTCACTTATCATCCTGTGGCTAAAAACCATTTTAAACGGGATTAATTTTTATTTACAAACAACAAAAGCTGATACCCCAAAGTATGGTTGTACTTGTATGGATCTGGCCAGGCTTTTAAATCCAGATTCTATACTCTTTATTCTAAAGAGTAAACTCTATATTCTAAACTCTATATTCACAAAATATAATATTTCATGATTTGTTAAAGCAATGTGTTTTTACAAGACAAACTTTCTACAATCCACAACTTCCTTAGAAAACTGTGTAATTATGAAAATAATGTACAAGGCTTTGGATCATAACGATTGACTTCTCTATTCCCCAGATGTATTAACCTGCACAGCCACCCGGAAGTACTTATAAGCCTTAGCGAACTTTTAACTGAGTTATAAATATAAAGCAAGATACACAGGATCATTCTAGATCTATCATAAATCTTTCTTCCCGAGCCAGACAATGACCGGAACCAGGAAGCTAAAGCAGGCCCCCTAATTAGAAACACATTTTTTTTTTTTAAGAAGATGACCGGTAAGGGGATCTTAACCCTTGGACTTGGTGTTGTCAGCACCGCACTCAGCCAGTGAGCGAACCGGCCATCCCTATATAGGATCCGAACCCATGGCCTTGGTGTTATCAGCACCGCACTCTCCCGAGTGAGCCACGGGCCGGCCCTAGAAACACATTTTTAATAAATTCTCAGTCACGTATTTCAAACGAGATTTAAAATTCTTCCTAGAGGGGGCCGGCCCGTGACTCACTCGGGAGACTGAGGTGCTGATCACACCAAGGCCTCGGGTTCGGATCCTATATAGGGATGGCCGGTTTGCTCACTGGCTGAGCGTGGTGCTGACAACACCAAGTCAAGGGTTAAGATCCCCTTACCGGTCATCTTTTAAAAAAATTTAAAAATTAAAAAAAAAATTTCTTCCTGGAGATGCCCGCTTTGGTCAGTCCAGAGAGTGCCCTAAACCGAACCGGAAAACTGAGGTTAAGTTTCCGCGCACCTTCAAACGTCCAGGTCCAAGGGCATGGAAGAGCGGAGACCGCAGACGAGGTAAGTCGGGATGAAAGTTGTAAGGGAGAAGGTAGAACAGGTTGTTCTCGGCAAGGAACCTAGGGAAGCCAGCGGATGGCGAGAGCAGCCTCCCGAGTCCTTCGGAGTTACGCCGCAGCTCAGCCCCTTCCCCTCCCTCAGCTCGAATCTTCCTGCCCCTAGCAGAGGGCCCGAGGACCCCCGCGTAGACCAGCGCCGTCCAGCTCCACCATCCCCACGGCCCCCGCCAGACTCCTGTCCGAGAAAGGCCACGGCCGGAGGCAAAGGGGTGACTCAATCGCTCCGAAGCTCCCGCTGGGCCAAAGTTGCCCTTAGCCCCGGGGGAGTGGCCTCGGCCTCCGCCCCCCTGCCCAGCCCTGCCCGGCCTTACCTTGAGTGCCAGGTGGTGAACGCGGCCCAGACCCGGTTCGGCCAGCAGCTGCAGCAACCCCAGTATCGGGAGCAGCCGCAGGCCCGCGGCCAGCCGACGACAGCGGGAGCCCGAGGGCCCAACGGGCGCCGGGGCGGCCATGTTTGCTCCAGCATCACCAGCCGCTTCCTCTCCCGCCCACTTCCGGGGTTAAAGGGCAGCGGCCGCCGGAAGGGCTCGGAGAGGGGGTGCGGCTGCTGGCGCCGCGGACTCTGTGGTGGTTTTTCTGAGGCTTGCGACGCGGGAAGTCGCCGAGTGGTCTATGCTGGTCACGTCGGGGCCTGTCAGTTGGCCTCCCCTGCGCAGACTTTCGGTTTAGCCAGAAGAGGTGAAGGGCCCCGTGCGGACCCTGTGGACGTTGCCAGGACGACGGTGGCCGAGCAGGGCCAGCATTGGCCTCGCTTCCGCGTCGTGGAGCTATGGAAGTGACCCCGGGCCCAGGGGACCCCTAACCGCAGGGAGGGGGTACGCTGTGGCTGCAGCACGATGTGTGGCCGTTGATTGGACCGATTTCAACGAGCGTTGACTCGGTGAAAAGTGTCTAAAACTTTCTGACTTGTGAAGGTCCCTTGGTTACTTCCAGGCACTTCACGCTCCAATTTCAGGCGAAATGATTGCAGTAATACCATTTGTTGAGCCCTTATAAGGCAATTCATTAAGCATTTTGTTGTATTTAGTCCTCGAAAGATTCTAATGAGATAGGAGGTAGGTATTATCGTTATCCCCACTTTACAAGTAAGTAAACTGGAGCTCTGAGAAATTAGGTCACTTGTTCTAGGTTGAACGGGGAATCACATGGAAACGGTTAACCGCTGTCTTATATTGCCTCGTGCTATTTTATCCGATCGCTACAGTCTGAGTTTTTCTCGTTTTTCTCTTAATTCTGTATGAAAACTTTATTGGCTACTAATCTTTAGAAGTTAAAGGGACTGGCTGGCGAGTTAGCTCACCACAAGGTCAAGGATTAGGATCTCAACACTGGCCTGCCCCCCCCCCCCCCAAAAAAAAAAAAATGCAGATAGACCAGCCAGGTTTATTTAGTTCCTAGATTCTTTTTTAGCCTGCCGCACAGTAATGCACGTTTTTGTTTTTGGTGTAATATTTAAGCAAAAGAGGAGAAAATAAAAACCACCAGGAATCCCAATACCAAGTGACCATCAGTGTACTAGTATGGTTCGTGACACAAACAGATTCTTAAAGTTTTTAACTGCAGCTAGAAACTGAAATTAACATGATATATTTTAATGGTGCTACGCTCAGGTTAAAAAAATCAATTGGGAAAATACAGAAGAGGGGGGGAGTCCTGGATTTTTTTTAGTAAAAGTCATAAATCTATGAATTCTTCCCTTGATTAAAAAGCCAGTTCCGGCACACCCTCTCCAAGGACAAAAGTAGGGCACTAAGGTAGGTGGGGCCAGGAAAATTGTAGTTAATCTTAAAATACCAGCGATTATCACTCAGGAGAAAGGCAATGATTACTAGGTGGGGAGAATGTCCCCTTTCTTCCCCAACCTCTGATCTTTGGCCATCTATTATGAATATATGGTCTTACATGTTTGAAAATAATTTTCATCTGATCCTTTCACAGGTAAAGAAACAGAATAAAAAACTATAATTATTATTTTGTGAATCCACATAGGGAGATAATAGATTTATTTACTAAAAATTAAATATGCTAAGTATTCTGTTAAGTATTTTTTGTATATATTATATCATTTAACATTACAAAAATAAAAGATATATTTTTATTTCCTTTTTTTTTTTTTGATGAGGCTTGGTTACATTAATTTATTCAAGGGCAGCCTAATCATTTATAATAATCCAACTGGAATTCTCATCCAAGCTCTCTTGACAAAGACAAGCACATAATCTCTGAATGTGTTAGAGAATTGCGGTAAAGAAAAATACTTTGCATATTAGGCTTGAAGGGTCCTTAGATAATCAACAGATCCATCCACCATATTTAACAGATGTGGAAACAAATCCAGAGAACTTAAATGACTTGCTCAAGATCACACAACTAGTTGGGCAATTTTCAGCAAACATCTTTAAAATCAGGATTGGAGCCTCAGAGGTTTCAGAATTGGATCAGTACTTTTTCCAGTATACTGCACATGACTCTCTAAATTCTTATTTAGTTTTTTAAAAAGGTAAAGCCCAAAGTCCGAGTAACCAGTGTTTTATTAAATGAAATGCTAGAGAAACTTTCAGAAAGCATTTTAAAAATCAATTTGAGAGAACATAGTATGAATGTAAAATAAGTGGTATTTTCTTTTAGGTATCAAGAGGAAACACTAAAGACAGTTAACTGATTCTCACTTCAGTATGAAACTAAATGTTAAAGGGGAAGGTGATTTTTAACTGCAATTTCACTTTTTAAGTGCAAAGACAGTTTGCAATGCTTTGGAGTCTTTTTATTTTTTACTTTTTTTTTTTTTTTCCCTCAAAAAGACAACCAGTAAGGGGATCTTAACCCTTGATTTGGTATTGTCAGCACCACGCTCTCCTAAGTGAGCTAACCGGCTATCCCTATATGGGGATCCAAACCCAGGGCCGTGGGGTTATCAGCACCACACTCTCCCAAGTGAGCCACGGGCCAGCCCCCTATTTTTTACTTTTTAAAGTTAGGTGTCCAGTTTGTTAGAGTGCTGGCTTATAACACCAAGGTCAGAGTTCAGATCCCCATACTGGCCAGCTGCCAAAAAATAAAAAATAACTAAAATAAAGTTAGGTTCCATTTTTGAGAATCTGGTTTTAAATTTGAATATAATACTAAAAACAGAATGAGCAGGTAGAGTCTTTCTTCCATTCAATAACATAATAGTGTTGAAACATTAAAATCGTTTCAAAATAGAAGACTTGTTTTTTAGTTCTGGAAAACAGTTTTACAAGGGCTTAAAGTTGGTTTCTTGTGATTTCTTGCTTCTTTTATACTTGGGAATTATGGGGCTGGGTGGTTAGCTCAGTTGGTTAGAGCATGGTGCTGATAACACCAAGGTCCAGGGTTTGATCCCCATACTGCCCCCCCCCCAAAAAAAAGACTTCTATATCTGTGAATTATGCTTCTATACCCCCACCCCCTTTGGCAGCTGTTCTGTACGAACCCTTGACCTTGGTGTTACAAGGATGTGATCTAACTAACTGAGCTAACCAGCCAGCCCAGGGGTTTGAGAGGAATATCTTCCTTCTCACACTTCAGAGTTATATTGTACCAATCATTATTTTGGAGTTGAGAGGAATAAGAATGAGGAAAATTGGCTACAAAGACAATGTGGAACATTTTTTAGACAGTTACTTTTTTAAAAAGGTTAAACTCTGCTAAATTTAATAGTTACTTTTTAAATTCTGAGAAAACTGCTACTGTGGCAATTATATTTAGGCATGTCATTTCAGAGTTTGAAGAAAAGATTATTTGCATAATCATGATACTGTAACTGGAAACAGACATGTTGAGTAACAGAACAAGTTATGCCTGCTTCTCCCTGGCAACATTTTCAAAGGGGCATTAAACTTCAAGGTATTGACTGAAAAAGCCTGGAAGGGCTCAAAAGACTGATCTCCTAAACTTGGCTTTTAGCCTTACTCTCTTAGTCAATTGCATTTTATTTTTCTATTTTCTCTTACTTTGCAGGATGAACTAAAGGTTGCCACTAGTAGCAGAATGTATAGTTTGAACCTAGTGCTATTAATAACATTTATCATTTTAGACATTTCCAGAAATCTTTTAAGTAATTAATGGGTCAACATATTTCAGCTTTAATAAGGTATAATTGCCATTTGTTTTTATTAAAAGTGTCGATATTTCAGACCAAAAACCTCTATAAACACAGTACAGGGAACTAAAGGTCAAATTGGGTCTGCAAATACATTCAGAAGTCAAATGTCACTTTCATTCTTTGACTTAAAACACCATTTCCAGGCCGGCCCGTGGCTCACTCGGTAGAGTGCGGTGCTGATAACACCAAGGCCACGGGTTTGGATCCTATATAGGGATGGCCGGTTTGCTCACTGGCTGAGCGTGGTGCTAACAACACCAGGCCAAGGGTTGAGATCCCCTTACCGGTCATCCTTTAAAAAAAAAAAACAAAAAAAACCACCATTTCCTCCAGGACTGCAGTTAAGGTTTTCATGCATTTCTTGGGATATGGGGGAAGCCTTTAAGAGCATCTGCCATGGTTTGAATGTCCCTGCCAAGCTCATGTTGGAGCTTAATCCCCAATATTGTATTTGAAAGGTGAGGGTCTTTAAGAGGTGATTGGACCATAGGGGCTATGCCCTCATGCATAGATTAATCCATTCATGGATTAATGGGTTAATGGATGAATAGGTTATTACTGGAAAGGAAGAAGGAAGAAGCGCATTAGCTCGCCTTGTAATACCCTGCATTTCCACTGGACTCTGTAGAGAGTCTTCCCAAGAAGACTCTCATCAGATATGCCCCTCGACCTTGGACTTTCCAGCCTCCAAAACTGTAAGAAATAAATTTGTTTTCTTATAAATTACCCAGTTTCAAGTATTTCATTAGAAGCAACAGAAAAGGGACTAATATAGCATCTTTTGGCAGAAAGTGATCTTCATTGAAAAGCCAGGCCCTGACACACCCCGAATCCTGCAGGTTAGAGATGAACTTCAAAATCACTTCTCAGTGTGATGGCACAGTGTATAACTTGCTCAGCTACAGGACAGCCAGTTTTTCCTAATTTCATGCACATCTTTGCAGACCTTCAGGGGAATTCAATTATCAGGTATAAAAATTGGTGGCAGTTTTAAAATTCTACTCATTGTAGAGTTAGTAGTTTTATCCTACTCCAACTTTTTCCATCTGACTGCTTTCTTGGGTCGTTAGTAAATAGTTTGAATGCTAAAGAAATGGGAAATTTTAAGCTAAAAACGGATGGTTGGCTATTTTAAAGAAAAAAATTCTGAGCATTTCATTAGGAGGAGTACTTCACCAATAGACAACCAATAAACTGTAGTTCAGGCAACCTGTCTTGCTGCATCAGAAATGCTTAAAGGTTTGCTTTCCTTTATACAAGTAAAAATCCTCCAGAAAACAGGAAGGGAAAGGGAACTGATACTTGTACCCTTGTTATGTGCTAAGCATTTTACATTTATTCTTCCTTTTAACCTTCACAATAACCTTTGAAGTAGCATTATTTTCATTTATATATATATATATAAAAAGATCTCTCTTTGGGGATATTTACATTTTAAAGAGGAGGAAACTGAGATATAGAGAAGGAAAGTGATTCAGCCAAAGCACTATAGCTATCCAAATCTGGCTAACATCAAAAAGCCTGTACTCATCCCCAGCTTCATCATTTCATAATGATCTATGAAGTCCCTGTTTTATGAATGAGGAAAGTGAAACTCAGAGTATTTAAGGATCTTGCCAAAGTCTACACACCTAATAAGTAGTGGATATATAGATATCTGTACATCTAAATCCCTGAATTAGGTGTTTATTAATTGCAAGCAAGCTTAGACTTGCCAAAAACCCTCATAATAATTGTTTGTTTCTAACAATGTGCACAGCAACCTATATAGGGTCTCTGTTCTGTTCATCCAGATACCTTATTTCAGTGCAAATATTGCCCATGTGGTCATATTATTCAGTGGTAATGTATATAGTCACCCACAAAGATCATAACTTTGTAAATCAGTGTTCTCTAGATATTCCTGAGAGGTGAAACAGGTGTACATAACCCAGACTGACCCCCTAGGTAATTCCAGCATTTACGTAGACATGGTTTAGAATACCCCTGGTGAAAAATGATTCCTAAGTAAGTCAGGGCACAATAGTTTGTTAATACTGTAGTGAGAATTCCTTGTCTTACAATGACTCCCTCTTACTCTAAGGGAAACTGAAACAGATTTAGTTCATTTTAAAAAATACTGTGCTGTATTAGTTTTATCTTTTTTACCTGCTACCTTATTTCACTTTATCCAAAACCCTGTTATTTTCATTGCCTCAAGATTAACAGTTTTTCTCCTTTATTTTTTTGAAGATTCTGACACTTTCAAACATTTTCCACTTACCACCAGTTTCCAGTTACTCTGTCTTTGATATTTGCAGTGTGGTATAATTAACTCAGTTCTATATAGTTCTGCTGCAGCTTCTAATAGGTTCCTATAACTAACAATTTCCTGCTTACTCACCTTAAAAAGTTGCATCTTCATGTGGTCTTTTTTTTTTTTCTTAATGTTCCTTCCTCTTCTTCCCCTTCTTTCTCTTCTTTAAAGCAGCATGTTGTTTCACCTCCTGATTAGCATATTTTCGCAAGTGGTCACTGTTTTTGAGAAGTCTCCAAGAACTCATTCAAGATTAGATCACTGTATTTGAAAAAATATTCAAGCCGTGGCAGGAAGAGAAATGGAGGTGATTACCAAGGCAAGGTCTTTTTAGATAACCTATATTTCATTTGCCATATCCAAATTTTAGCAGACTAAACTGTGCAGCATTGTTTGAATTTCCAACATTTCCAACTCACCCTGGTTATTAATCTGCCTTGGGAGGTAGGTGGCTGGCTGTTCTACTCATATATCTAGTAGTCTCTAAAGAGTACTCAGACCTGGTAAATGAAAGCAGAATGTTTAAACAAACACAAAAACGGGGAATGGCAGAGCTTGGGCGGGTGTGTAACTGAAAAAAGACAGACCAAAACAGTTCTGACAGTTTAAATTTACTGTAACTGTCCAACAAAGGAAATAGACTTGGACATTTATCTGCGTGGGTTTTCAGCTCCACTGTTTCGTGGAGGAGAATGATAAGCAGGTTGAGGGTGTGGGGGTAGGATTGCAGAAATGCATCATTGTGAAATATTTATTTAAATGGGGCCCATTTGAGGAGTCCATGGTTACTCAGAAAAGGATCCAGTAATAGCATTAACTGAGAGAGAAAGAAAGGTTGTGGGGAAAGGGCCTAGTGATTCAGAGAAAACAGCTGGAGCTCCAAATATTCCCCATAGCTTGTCAGGAATAACATTTTTGCACACCTTTGGAGAGTGAGGGAGTCAGTATCTACAGATAAAATGAACTCTCAGTTTACCAACCATGGGCCAGGTAACAGGTGCTCATTTCCTTGCCTCTCACCACCACACAGTGAGATTGCTCAGTGCTTCTGGAGGTGGAGGCATTGTCCAAGGCTGCCCAGCTAGTACGTCCAGGAGGCCGGATTTGATACAAGTTATCTGTGGACCCAGCGCCTTTGCTTTTTACCCACTAAGCGGTAACGCGATTTCATGTCTGAGAGTTTCTTGGTCGAACAGGTTGGAAATCACTGGTTTCAGAGATTAGAAATCACTGGGTGTACGCCCCTGGATTCCTTCCCCAGCCACTCGAGGCTGCCTGATCTCTATTTGCCTCGCCATCCCTGCATGTACAGCGCACAGACATCACGTTCCAGGCCCCACTCCCACCGCGCGAGGCTGCCGGGCTCCTCCTGAACGGCGGCCAGGGAAAGTATTGTCCTTAAATCCAAAGCGGCGCCCGGTGCAGTGGAGCAGCGCAGAGCTCCGCAGAGCATCGCAATAACCGAGGCCGGCTATGTTCAAAGGCGGGTGGTTGTCCTGAAAGCTGAAAGCCTGGTTGCTAATAAGTAATAAAGAACTGGCGGGGGCAGCCGTCGGGTTTCCAAGTCCCCAGTCCCTCCCGCCTCCCTCCGCGTCCTTCCGGACCCCGGGGCGCCCCGGCCCCGGCGAAGGGAGCCCGGGGGACGGTGGGAGG